TTTGGAATTGATGTCAAGCAAGAGAGCAAGAGTTTCTGAACTTTGTGATCTTAAGACCTGGATGCAGAGGATGTTGGTGTGTAAAGAAGGGAAAGAGGTGAGGATGGACAGAGAGAGGCAGAAGCCAGAGAGGTAGCACAAGATTGTCTGTGCCCCACACTACCACCCCCTACACTGCCCAGTCCTTCTAAATTCAATTCAGAATTCTGTTTTCAGAAAAAAAAAAAAAAAGCCTCCCTTGGACTCAACAATATCCAGCTGTTTGTCTTATATGTTATAAAAACAGTCTACTCTAAACTCCCTTGATAAGAATGACCAGGTGTGACCTTGGTCTGAAGAGTTGTGTATTGAAGACCTGTTTGTTCATTATTATTCATATTTCAAATGCTATCAGGAATTGAAGATATTTTCAGTAACAGGAGAAAGATCTTAGCAGAAGCCTGAGCTGCATGCTGAGAGGTGTGGCTTTGTTTTCAGACCTTCTGTCCCATATACACACTGTGGCTACAAGTGTGTTGTGAAGAGGGGTGGGACTTGGCGGTCCTATTCAGCAAAGGCCAGAGAGGTCAGTCTTCCTGGTCCCTGGGAACAAATGAAAGAGTGGCTGGTTTCCTGTCTGGAAGAAGGGTATTCATCAACCCTTTCCATGAGCCTGTGGTTCCTTCAGGCCTCATTCCAAATTCTGAAGTACAGATGTCGTTTAAATTTTTCTTTGCAGTCACCCACTTGGGTCTGACTCTTTGCAACACCATGGCCTGGAGCACACCAGGCCTCCCTGTCCCTCACCATCTCCACAAATTTGTCCAAGTTCAAGTCCATTGCATCGGTGATGCTTTCCAGCCATCTCATCCTCTGATGCCCTCGTCTTCTTCTGCCCTCAATATTTCCCAGTATCAGGGACTTTTCCATAGAGTCAGCCATTTGCATCAGATGACCAAACTACTGTAACTTCATCATCATTCCTTCCAATGAGTTCTAATGAGGTGGATGAAACTGGAGCCCATTATACAGAGTGAAGTGAACCAGAAAGATAAACACCAATACAGTATACTAACACATATATATGGAATTTAGAAAAATGGTAACAATAACCCTATATGCAAGACAGAAAAAGAGACACAGATGTATAGAACAGACTTTTGTTAGATGCATTTACACATAGTTTGGAATTGATGTCAAGCAAGAGAGCAAGAGTTTCTGAACTTTGTGATCTTAAGACCTGGATGCAGAGGATGTTGGTGTGTAAAGAAGGGAAAGAGGTGAGGATGGACAGAGAGAGGCAGAAGCCAGAGAGGTAGCACAAGATTGTCTGTGCCCCACACTACCACCCCCTACACTGCCCAGTCCTTCTAAATTCAATTCAGAATTCTGTTTTCAGAAAAAAAAAAAAAAAGCCTCCCTTGGACTCAACAATATCCAGCTGTTTGTCTTATATGTTATAAAAACAGGCTACTCTAAACTCCCTTGATAAGAATGACCAGGTGTGACCTTGGTCTGAAGAGTTGTGTATTGAAGACCTGTTTGTTCATTATTATTCATATTTCAAATGCTATCAGGAATTGAAGATATTTTCAGTAACAGGAGAAAGATCTTAGCAGAAGCCTGAGCTGCATGCTGAGAGGTGTGGCTTTGTTTTCAGACCTTCTGTCCCATATACACACTGTGGCTACAAGTGTGTTGTGAAGAGGGGTGGGACTTGGCAGTCCTATTCAGCAAAGGCCAGAGAGGTCAGTCTTCCTGGTCCCTGGGAACAAATGAAAGAGTGGCTGATTTCCTGTCTGGAAGAAGGGTATTCATCAACCCTTTCCATGAGCCTGTGGTTCCTTCAGGCCTCATTCCAAATTCTGAAGTACAGATGTCGTTTAAATTTTTCTTTGCAGTCACCCACTTGGGTCTGACTCTTTGCAACACCATGGCCTGGAGCACACCAGGCCTCCCTGTCCCTCACCATCTCCACAAATTTGTCCAAGTTCAAGTCCATTGCATCGGTGATGCTTTCCAGCCATCTCATCCTCTGATGCCCTCGTCTTCTTCTGCCCTCAATATTTCCCAGTATCAGGGACTTTTCCATAGAGTCAGCCATTTGCATCAGATGACCAAACTACTGTAACTTCATCATCATTCCTTCCAATGAGTTCTAATGAGGTGGATGAAACTGGAGCCCATTATACAGAGTGAAGTGAACCAGAAAGATAAACACCAATACAGTATACTAACACATATATATGGAATTTAGAAAAATGGTAACAATAACCCTATATGCAAGACAGAAAAAGAGACACAGATGTATAGAACAGACTTTTGAACTCTATGGGAGAAGGCAAGGGCGGGATGACCTAAGATAATAGCATTGAAATATGTATATTATCAAGTGTGAAACAGATCGCCAGTCCAGGTTGTATGCATGAGACAAGTGCTTGGGGCTGGTGCACGGGAATAAGCCAGAGGGATGGGATGGGGAGGAAGGTGGGGGGGGGGTTCAGGATGGGGAACACATGTAAATCCATGGCTGATTCATGTCAATGTATGTCAAAAAACCACTATAATACTGTAAAGTATTTAGCCTCCAACTAATAAAAATAAATGAAAAAAAAATTTTTTCTTTGCGATGTGTTCAGCCACCCACTTGGGTCTGACTCTTTGTAGCCCCATGGCCTATGGCACACCAGGCCTCGCTGTCCCTCACCATCTCCACAAATTTGTCCAAGTTCAAGTCCATTGCCTCAGTGATGCTTTCCAGCCATCTCATCCTCTGATGCCCTTGTCTCCATCTGCCCTCAATCTTTCCCAGCATAAGAGACTTTTCCATAGAGTCAGCCATTTGCATCAGATGACCAAACTACTGGAGCTTCATCATCAGTCCTTCCAATGAGTATTCAGAGTTGATTTCCCTTAGAATTGACTGGTTTGACCTCTTTGCTGTCCAAGCGACTTTCAGGAGTCTTCTCTAGCACCACAGTTTGAAGGCATCAATTCTTTGGCATTCTGCTTCTTTATGGTCCAGCTTTCACAACTGTTCATGACCACTGAAACAACCATAGCCTTGACTGTATGGACTTGTTGGCAGAGCAATGTCTCTGCTTTTCAGCACGCTGTCTAGGTTTGTCATAGCTTTCCTGCCAGGAAGACGTCATCTTCTAATTTCATGGCTGCAGTCATCGACTGCAGTGATCTTAGAGCCCAAGAAGAGGAAATCTGTCACTTAGCACCCTGATGGCATTATCCTTTAGGGTTTTGACTAGCTCTACTGGAACTCTTTGCAGTAGTGTGTCAATAAAATCAAGTAAATATACAGAGGCCTATGGTCAAAAACTTACAAACACTTACAAGTGTAAGTTCTGGGGTCATATAACCTTTTACCTGAGTGAGTGCTCCTGATCTTGGAAGGAGAGCAGTGAGCACTCCTGGAGAGATATCTTCATTCTCTGCCCAAGGATGGAACCTGGGTAGACTGGATGAAACCCCAGGAATCCTAGTCAACACATCACCAGGAACTAGAGACTAGAAGCAAAGTGACTCTGGCTCTTTACCCCATTTGAAAGCAAGAATGTTTCAAGGAGGCAAAAAGTATAAATAGGTACAAAGTTTATTAGAGACACAGCACACTGTATGGCAGAGCATACAGAGAAGAAGATAGTTTATTTAAGACAGAAGCAAAGCAGAAATACGCCCAGAGAGAGGTATGGGCATTCTCTCTAATGAGGAGAAGTGCCCTAAGTCAGAGCTAAGCAGAGACTTACACCTGTGGTAAAGTGCAGAGTCCTGAATGAGGGGGAGAGCAGTAACAATGTGACATAAATTAACTTATATAGGGCAGTCCTTACAGATCATTGTTTACCTTTGGCCAATTATCTTGTTAATTTCTTCACACCTGACTGGCCCATTGACCCTCAAAAGATGCATGTGAAACTGTTTTCTAAGATACATCCCACCACAGATGTCTATGGTGCATGTCCACACTTATCATGGGGTGGGGCCCCCTCCCTTTTCGAGCCCCAAGAAGCCTTCCTGTGCATGTGTAGACAGGGAAGTCTTTGTTGAACTCAGGAGTGGGCTCCTTATCTATTTGCTATAGCAGAGCTCAGCTTGTGCCACTAGCTTTGTCCTTGGAGCATCTGGGTGTGAACAAAGCTTGAATATTACTCAATTTGACAAACACCAGGTGTCCAGCCCAGAGGCACACGATCTCCTACCTTACGAAGTGCAGGTTCCCTTCCTCTCTGTATCTTGGATTCCATGTCTGTAAAATGAGAAGGGTTTGCCTAAATTATCTCTGAGGCAGAGGGGAGACAAACATCCCTTGAACTTCAAGGCAGGAAGAGGTTGTGGGATGAATCTGAACATGGCTGGACACCCTCTCTGTCTGAAACTTCAGAAGGGATTAGGGTTGTGCAGATGGTACATTCTCTGATGAGACACCCAGAGTCACACTTTCATGGGAAGAAAGAGATCCTGGATGGTCAAGGGTGACGGGATTCTACTGGGTATAAGCCCACTCGATATGGCCAGAAAAGTTGGTGTTTCCCTGCCAGCAAGAGGCAGCCACGATGACCTCCAAGCCCCAGGGCAGCAGCTTGCCTTGGTTAGAGGAGTCTGGGGTTTGGAGAGAGGTCTAAACAGGGCTTTACCTGGGGGAGGCCTCAAAGAACGAATTTGAAACCATGGGAGAGAATGAGCGCAAGTCTAGAGGGAGTGCAAGGAGAGAAGGGAGCGAGAGCTGAGGATCCTGCTCCCCTCTGTGAGTGTCAGGAGATGAGGAGAGATGAGAGAAAGAGACTGAAGGATAAGAAGATTGAAGGCAGGAGAGGAAAGGGAAGGAGGAGGCAGTGACAAGTGAGTCAAATGGGTTCCATGTTTGGCAGAGGTGGAGGGCTAGACACCTGTCTTGCTGAGGAGGAGACACTGGATTTTACAACAGGGCTGTCTTGGAGACCTTCTTTTAGCCCTTGCCTGTGAGTCAGCAGGCTGCCCTTTTGTGTGACAAATCTTCCAGATGTGAAGCCAGTTGCAAACTATTCTGAAGGAGGAGTTTCATAGGAGGCCTCCCTTGTGGCCTCATCCTGTGGCTCAGTAGGGAAGCCATGAGGAGCAGACGGTCACCTTTTTATTGGGATGTTGACAGCTCAGCTCTGGGCACTGCCCCCTTCCTCCCTGGGCTGGAGCTGGGGTGGGGGGAGCCTCAAAACTCGCAGATCACGAGGAGTTTCTTATTGCAGGGTACGTCATTCCACTTGCCCTCAGGATAGATCTCCACACAGTTCTCTGGTTGTCCGTCATTGTTGTTGTTGGGCTCCCCGCTGGCCCAGTTGGAATAGACCAGTGACTCCCCCGTGGGGTAGGTGAACCTACCCTCAGTGGAAATGTCACTCATGCTCAGGTAAGCTTGCTTGTTCTGTGCTCTGACCAGCTGTGTCACAGCCTCGTTCTCGGCTGCAGAGCGTGGGGAGGCCAGCTGTCCCCTAGCCGCTTTGCAGACTTGCTGGGCATCTGAATATGATTTTACAACACCTGCCATCTTGAAGATCTTCTCCCCGACAGCCAGGCCATCAGGGAAGAGCACCGCTAGGGAAAGAGGAAAGTCAGGTTGGGAATGTGGACTCCAACTGGAGTCCCCAACTCCCACAAGGGTACCAGGGCACCAGGTAGAACAAAAGCGAGGCACTTAGCTCCCGAGCACTCGTCATGTAAGAGGTGAGGACCCTGGAACTCAGGAGCTTATGCAAGAGGCCTAAAGTTGCCCAACTGTCAAGTGTAGATCAGGATCACACCTTGTTGGATGTGACACTAAAGCTCCCACATGCACTTTCTGTTCCTCCCCATGATGTTTTCCAGAAGCTGGGACTTTAATTACTGTGTAAACAGGAAAAACTGTGGCAGGGAAATGACACTTAGAGCCCAGGGCAGCTCCTGAGAGTGGAGAAAACTCCACACAGGCAGCTGATTCTCACCCACACATGATGACTGGGTGTGTGGAGTTGTCTGAGTGCTTCTGTGCAGTGTGAAGAGTGAGGAGAAAGGGAGGACAGGGGTGCATCTGAGAGCAGCCAAGTGCTGACCTCTGCACTGGGGGCAGTCCAGTGTTGGCTTCCATATGCTTGCAGGTGATGCTACAGCCAGTCAGCCTCTCTGGACCACTGGGCAGGGGATGACGGAATCTCAGAGCTCTGCGTGGGGGCAGGAGGGCACGGTGGGATCAGCTTTGGAAAGAGCCCTATCTGAGCCTCAGAAAGTCGTGTGTTCAGCCCCACACTGGCAATGACAGTCCAGGTGACAAGGGAAAGTCATTTCTCTTTTCAGAGTTTAATCCCATATTTCTAAGGAAAATGTCCACTGCGCAACAGCATCCTCTATGGGATATGTCAAGTATCTCTTTTGATTCCATCCAATTCATACCCCTCTGACTTCCAGGGTCATGCATGGAAATCTTCAGGGCTCCTAAGGGGGCTCACTGAACTGGTTTTGAACCCAGGCTGCACCCTGACCCACTGCCATTTTCCTCTGATTAGCTTCAACAAGCAGTCGGAGACCAGATTTTCCAGTAGTCAGGATGGTACCCAGACAGCCCTGGACAAAGTCAGTGCAAGCTCATGTGCCATGATTGGTTTACATCCCATGCATCTGGGTGGTATGCGTGTGCATGCGTGAATATATCCATGTGTCAGTTTGAAGGTACATGGGCTGACTTAAGGTCCATCAGGATGGGTGTGGATATGTATGCATGTGTGCTCAAGTATGTAGGTGGTGTGGACTGAGTGATGGTATTTAGGTACACACATGTGGCCAGCACATATGCTCAAGTTCTCCTTTGTTTATATCAGTCTGCATGAAGTGTTAGTTTTTAAGTCATGCGCAGCTCTTTTTGACCCCATGGACTGAAGCCCACCAGGGTCCTCTGTCCATGAGATTTTCCAGGTAAGGAACTTGGAGTGGTTTGCCATTTCTATTCCCAGGGATCTTCCCAACCCAGATCAAACCCAGGTCTCCTGCAGTGCAGGCAGATTCTTTACCAGCTGAGTTACCAGGCAATGAGAGAGTAAATAAATATGTAAATGTGACTGTGCAAGAAGAAAGACATAAACTGCTGAAAATTCTCATCCCACTAATTCAGTACTTAGTCAGCTTGAGTTCTTAGAGGCCAACCCTCTGTCTCACCCAATCAGGTCTCTATATACAGAAATATACAGAAAAATATACAGAAAATATACAGAAAACTCTTCCTTTTTTGGATCAACAAGGTTTGATAAGTGATGTGAATTCAAAGCTGCCATCAGGGAGAGGAGAGAAGGAGGAGGGGCAGTTGGTGGAGTATCCAAAATGCACAGGGCACTCAGGTGTGTGCTCCCAGAGGCCTCTGCCGGCTTAAGATCCAGGCTTAGGGAAGAATCTCTGCTTCAACACCACAAGAGGTGCAGGGGAGTCCAGCACTGGCCAGAGACTGGAGGCAGCTTATTCTTTCCAGACCCGGGGACATCTTTACGGTAAGATACTTGGTGGCCACACACCAATGAAAGGTCCCCAGCAGCCTTGAAGCCCACAGGCAGCATCCCACCCCCACTCTCAGGATCATGTCTGGATTCTCTGCTGCCCTGGGCTGTGTGGCTTCTTCTCTGGGCATTTGCACACCTGGCCCAAAGAGGGAAGAAATGCATCCTGGGTTGGATGTCCGTTTGTCTGTCATAGGAGCCCGCCAGGGTAGGCCAGGGTAAGGTCTGCTGAATGGATGACCAGACCGCATCCTCCTCCTTGTCTTGTGTGTCTATTTGAGTCTCTGGTGCATGCAGGGCACAGCTCTGTCCCAGCCCTGTCCTTAACCCTGCTCCTGCCCCAGGTCTAGGTCTGGTCCCAGTCATGGTCCCAGCAAGTCCAATTTAGACCCAGCCCAGCGAACTGCAAGCCAAGCCCAGACCCAGTCTGAGGCCCATGATCAGGGCCTGGCTCAGGGTCAGGTCCAGGAACTCACCTTTCTTATACTGAGAGAAGGCATTTTGGAGGCGTCGCAGGTGTCCCTCTAAGACTGCCACCTGCTGCCTGACAGCATCAACCTCTGCAGAAGAGAGAGGCCAAGTGAAGACAGATTCAGACCAGCCTCGGGTCACTCAGAGCCCAGGCCTCAAGAGAAGGGTGTCCAGGTGGAGACGCAAGTTGGGGGTGGGGTAAGGAGGTGGAACAGAGGCCTAGGAAGCCCTCTTCTGTTGACCTAGCTGGCCTCTGCTTCCTATAGGATTTCCTGCGGTTCTCTTGTGGACAGTATCCCCTGAACAGGTCCCTGTGCCTCACTGACAGTGAACCAGATGTCATTTTAATTCCAAATTCTAGGAATTTGATAGCACTTCCTTTTGCATTGCAGGGGGTGGAATGGTTGTAGGAGAGGAATAGACATAGCTTGAGTATTTCCCATCCATTGAGTTATTTGATGTTCAAGGTTATCTGATGAACTGGAGAGGGAGGTTGGCTTGTCATAGAAATCGGATAGAAAATCTGCTCAGGGTGTCCTCCAACAAGTCATAGAGGCTAAGACTAGAGTCCGCCTTACCATATACCCTGTCAACTTTTTCTGCTTTGACCCCCACCTGTAACTAAATGGGTTACCTGAGAGGAGAGCTAAGCTAAATAAGGCCTCCTCCCAGCCCCCACACCCTAATGGGGCCCTCAAGTCTTCCTTACCTGTAAGCCCACTCTCACCCTTTTCTCCTCTTTCTCCAGGAGTACCTCTGTCTCCCTTCAGTCCTGGGGGGCCCCTGGCACCTGAAGGCCCCTGTGGACCTATGGCTCCAGCAGGCCCTGGGATCAGAGAAGTAGAAATGGGTGAGTGCTAAACATATATCTTAGCAATTTTGTGTCCCCCCAACCTCCATACATAGACTCATATCCCCCAGCCATACACCCTCCTACATACCAATGTCCCTCTGTATCTGGAACTCTTCTTACATCGCCTCTATACACTGACTGTCCCATAATCCGACAACCAGCCTTCCCTGGATACAGACAGTCCCTGCCACTCTCACCACCTTCTCCCTGGAGACAGTTCCCAGAGCCCAACACTGGTCCTCACCCTGGAATGCCAGCTCTGACCTCATGGCTGGTGAGGTTGGGCACAGGGGAACATGAGCCCAGCCCCACGTCCATTGCTCACCTGCCACCCCAGCACGTCCAGGGGCTCCGGGCTCACCAGGGGCACCTCTCTCTCCTTTGAGACCTGCAGGGCCTGGGGAGCCCTGCATGCCTGGGGCACCCACTCCTCCTGAGGAGGGAACACATTGGAGAAACATGGCTGAGAGTGTGCTCAGCAGGTACCATTTCCTCAGCAGTGCAGCTTGTCACGCACAGCTCCAGGTGAGAGAGCGACCTGGGAGACTGCTCCTGACTGCTTGGTCTCTTCCAGGAACTGTATCGGGAAATTCAGTCAGTGTGGGAAAGTTGAGGGTGAGGCCCAGGCCAGGCTGACCAGGTGCGGAGGTTCCAGGCTTTTCCAGACACTGTGCACATAGCTTGGTCCCCACCAGGGCTGCCCATGTCACCCCTCCCGTCTCCCTCCCTCACCCACCACACACCACCCTCCTACCTTTGGGCCCAGTCTCTCCTTTGGGGCCTGGTGTGCCTGGAGGTCCCATGCTCCCCTGCTTCCCTGAGGGGCCCTCTCTCCCAGCTGGACCAGGCATGCCTACAGGCCCTGGGGAAAAGGACCAGCCAGGTTAATGACACTGAATCTCCTTGGAGGTAGAAGTGCTTAAAAGATGGAACTGTAATAGAAGTCAGACAGGCAGCCTCCTCCTAAAGATGTTGCCCCTACTCTGCCCTCCCCAGAAGCTCCAGGCTTCTCTGAAATAACCTCGTGCCACCTTGAGAATGACCTTCTTCCTCTTCCTGGGGTGGAATCTGTGCACGCCTGCTGCCGTGTCCTAACGCAGCACACCACCTGCAGACACCTGCATTCCACGCCCAGCTGCTCACCAGGTGGTCCCGGGTCTCCCTTTGGTCCGGGTTCTCCAGCAGAGCCATTGTCCCCTCTCGGCCCAATGGGGCCAGCTGGTCCAGGCATCCCTGCTCGTCCTGCAGGGCCTGGTGAACCTGTGACATAGAAGAGATGGACATAAAGCTGACCCTGGCCCAGGAGGAGCCAGCTACCTGCAGAGTCAGGGCCCTGGCGTTCTTTCAGGGTTCTGAAGGGTGTAGACACTCCCCCTCCAGGTGACTGGTCTGTGGAGATCTAGGAAATCTGTGTCTACATCTCCATTTTACAGGTGAAGGAACAGGCTTGCAGAGTTGGAGGCAGATCCAAACCTAGACCCACCTGACTTTGCATCCAATGCACCTGCCCCTGCCTCAAGGCCATGGTATTTATGGCAGTTAAGTCTGTCAGCTTTTACCTTTGACATGGACTCCCTGCCCTCCCCGCTCCCCAGAACCAAAGTTTCTTTCAGAAATGACACCTGACACTTAGCACCAGAGAAATAGAAATCAAAAGCACAATGAGCTGTCACCTCACTGTCAGAATGGCTATTATCAGACAACAAATAAGAAGTGTTGGAGAAAGTGGAGAAAAGGGAAACTTTGTGAAGCAGGGATGTAAATCGGTACAGCCACTATGGAGAACAGTATGAAGGTTTCTCAGAAAGTTAAAATTAAAGCTATGATATAATCCATCAATTCCACTTCTGAGTATTTAACTAAAGAAAATGAAAAAACTAACCTGAAAAGATATATGTACCCCCAAGTTAATTGCAGCGTTGTTTATGGTAGCCCAGACATGGATGCAGCCTAGAGCCCAAGTATCTGTGGATGGAAGAATGGACGTAGAAAATGCAGGGTGCATATACAATGGAACATTATTCAGGCATAAAAGGGAATGAAATCTTGCTATTTGCAGCAACACTGGTGAACCTTGAAGGCACTATGCTTAGTGGAATAAGTCACAGAGAAGGGCAGTACTATACCATCTCACTTATATGTGAAATCTAAATAAACAAATGAACAAAAACAACATACTCACAGATACAGAGACCAGATTTGTGGTGGCTAAAGGTGGGGTTGAGAAGTGAGCAGAATGGATAGAATTCTTCAAAAGGTACAAGTGTCCAGTTAAAAAAAAATTGAGTCCTAGGAATATGATGTACAGCAGAGTTACTATACTTAGTAATTCTGGGTTGCATGCTTGAACATTGCTGAGCAAGCAGATCTTAAAAGTTCTCATTACACACAAATTGTAACTATGTGTGTTGATGACTTATTGTGACAATCATTTCACAATATATGCAAATGTGAATTCATTATGATATACATCTGAATCTATTATATTATAGATCAGCTCTATTTTAATACAAAGAAGAGAAAAAATTATGTAACATGCTTTTAAAATTATGGAAGATAGATGAAATTATTGTGCATTATTAAGTGATAAAGTAAGTTATAAACACTCTATTTAATATGATTCAGTTTCTTCAATGTGTCCATGCATGTGTCAGGCATGTGCACATGTAATATATATTGAAAATATTGCAAGAACAGCATATACAAAGGTGTTAACAGTTCTTCTTTCTAAGGGGCACAATTCAGGCAATTTTAATTTTCTTCTCTTTGTATTTTGACCACATACTAATTTGCTTTGGAAAAATGACCAGACATTTTAAAAATCACATTACCTTAAGAAGGCTGCCTAAGTCTGAAATTATCAGAGGTTTGCCTTCAATGACTAAAGGGAGAAATGCCTATTGATTCAAGAATTATACACTCAATTCTGTGAGTTTGGTTATTCTTTTTTCATTGAGATGAAATTCACATAATATAAAAATAATCTTTTTTTTTTTTTTTACTGTGATGTGTAGCTTTCAGGATCTCAATTCCCCAATCAGGGATTGAATCTGAGGCCTGGCAGTGAGAACACCGAATCCTAACCACTGGACCTCCAGGAATTTCCTATAATTAATAATTTAAAGTATACAATTTAGCAGCATTTAGAACATTGACATAATTGTACAACTACCACTTCTCTTTAATTCAAGACTATTTCATTAATCCCAAAGAAAACCTCATACCCATTTACCATTCCCTCCCTGACTCCTCCAAGGCCCTGGCTATCTCTAGGCCACTGCCTGTCTCTGTTACCTATTCTGGATATTTTATATAAATACATACAATATATGACCCTTTGTGTCTGTCTTTTTAAACTAGCAGTGACATTCTTGAGGATCATCCAATTTGTAGCACATCTCAGTACTTCATTCCTTTCTATGGCTGAGAAATGTTTTATAGTATGAATGTGACACGTTTTCTTTATTCGTTCACCGTGGATAAATGTTGATAGACACTTGAGTTGTTTCCATCTTTTGACTGTTGTGAGGAAAGCATTCATGCGCAAAAAGACAGCAAAAGGAATCTGTCAGTTACTACTAATTTGTGCATTCACTTATTTGTTCATTTCCTCATTTCATTTCTCTGTTCACTGAGAAGCTCTCTGTAAAACATAGCTTTCTGCCTGGCACTGAGCAGGATGTAAATGTCAGCACCAGGTCCTGGTCTGCAAGGAATTTGTCACTGAATTTTAAACTATGAGGCACAGGTAATGAGTGAAGAAAACAGCTTAGGAGATGTCCCTCATCCCATCCCAGCACCCACAACCCATGGACACACACATACTCATAGGAAACAGGACTTCAGGGCTGAATAGGATTCAGAGACCTGGAGAGGAGAGGTGATATTTCAGATCTGGAAACCATTCCCCCAGGGTAAGAAGGGCCAGGCTTGCCTGGGCCAAGAATGTGCAGGTGATGGGAGACTGGTGTATTTGATGGGTGGTGAGAGTCTCTGTGCTGGACATCATGTCCTGCTCTTAGTTCCAATTCTCACTAGGCAAGCAATGGGAGCCTGGAGGATGGGCTCCACATCTCAGACCCCCTGGTGCACTGTGCTCAGGTAGAGACACCTGGTCCCTGACTGAGCCTCTCCTGGCCTCCCACCAGGCCAGGGAGGGCAGCAGGTACCTTGGAAGCAAGTCACTCCTTAGAAGGAAGCATTAGAGGTTGCCCATCCTTTGCACAAACCATGGAGGCCATGAGAGCAGGGGGGTAGAGGAAGGGATACTTTTCAATTCATGGGCCCTAGGGAAGCTAGAGAGAGCTGGCACCTAGAATACCACCCCTCCTCTGAGACTACTTCTAGGTGGCCTTCTCAAGCCCCAGCCCATTCATGTTGAGAGCTACTTTCTTTCTAAAAGACAGACAGATACTTGTCTCTTACCCTACAAATCCTGGGGATGTTATGTATTCTTTTCAGCTTTAATGTTCATTTCTCTCCTCTCCAATCAAAGCACAAACTCCAGGAATATAAAAGACCTCAGTTGATCCTTCTATAGCCCTGGCCCAGGGCCATGGCTGTCCCCTCATCCTTGTCGCTGGTTCATCAAATTCTCACTTCTTGCCAGTAAAAACCAGATCTTCTCCTGTGGGGCAGTGTTTCCAGAAAATTCTCATAACAATACATTTGGAAACCTCAGGAGAACTCAGTTGGTTGGGACAGCAGAAGGATAAAACTTGATCTTGAAGACCCAACAAAGAAATGACACCTTGACTCAATTCTTTGTCACTGTGTGGTCGATATTATTCCCATCTACAGATGATTAAATGGAAACTTACAACACTGTCATCAGTTCAAAAATATTTAACATTCTGCAGAGGCAACATTTAATCAGAATGATCAACAGTTAAGTTTTGGAGTATGCGTGCTCAGTCGCATCTGACTCTTTGTGGATTGTAGCCTGACAGATTCCCTGTCCATGATATTCTCCAGGCAATAATAGAGTGAGTTGCCGTTTTCTATCCAGGCGATTGTCCCAACCATAGGATCAAACCCACACCTCCTATGTCTCCTATATGAGTGTACTAAGTCACTTCAGTCGTGTGCAACCCAGAGCCCGCCAGGCTCCTCTGTCCATGGGATTCTCCAAACAAGAATATAGGAGAGGTTGCTATGCCCTCCTCCAGGGGATCTTTCTGACCCAGGGATCGAAACTGCATTTCTTACATCTCCTTCATTGGCAGGCAGATTTTTTACCACTAACACCACTTGGTAAGCCCAATGAGTTCTGGAGCTGCTGCCGCTGCTGTTGCTGCTAAGTCACTTCAGTTGTGTCCAACTCTGTGTGACCCCATAGATGGCAGCCCACCAGGCTCTGCCATCCCTGGGATTCTCCAGGCAAGAATACTGGAGTGGGTTGCCTTTGCCTTCTCCGGAGTTCTGGAGTAGGGGACTCCAAATACCAGTCATTCACTCACTGTTTGTACATTCTTGGAGTGTATAGAGTCAGAAGACCCTAGAGAAGGAATCAGGACAGGTGGTTATGGAGCTGGGGGCTTGGGCAAGCCAGCGTTTGCCAACCAGTAAAGCCATGTTTTAGGTGGACTGAAGATCTTGGGGGAACCTCCCCTGTTGGGAAGACCATCTTCAATGTTTCCACAGCAGAAGATTCAGAGTTTTGGGGTTGGTTACAATTCCAGTGCCCACCCCTTCCCATCAGGGCAAGCACATGGTCCCAGCTCTACCTGGATCACCCTTCTCCCCCCGGGAACCTTCTCTTCCATCTTGTCCATCACGACCAGGCAAGCCACCCTCTGGAGGGCTACACACAACCAGGGTACAGGCATTGGCCATTATTTTCTGGGAATAGATCTCCATTTCTGCTCCCAGGGGTCTCCAGGGCTGTGTGAGCAGGAGCAGCACGGAGAGCGGGAGGAGAAGCATGTCCTAGGCGGAGGAACAGAAAGAGGGGCTTCTCTTGGTCCAAGGACGAGGACTAGGGCTGGCCCAGCTCCTGGAGGTCAGGAGAAGCCCTTCCCCCATCTCCTCTCCCATCCTCTGGGGCCAAGAGTAGCAGGGCTCCAAAAGTAGTTTAGGGAAAGTTAGGATAAGGTCTGGCTAGGGAGGACATGAGTGGACCAGCTGGATCTCTAACCTGGTCTTCCAGCAGTGTAAATCTACTCTCAGATGTTCTGTGTCGTCCCTTTTTGGGCTTGTCATCCTTGCCAGGGGGCACTGTGGTCAGGATGTAGAATTCCTCACTGAGGCCATTGTCACACCAGGAGGGACTCTCTGAGGGCCCTCGGGTGGACCCTTCCCTCTCTGGGCCTCTTTATCCCTTTTTATACCAGGAAGTTGATAGCTTTACCTCTTACAAGGCTGGCTTGTCTCCTCTCACTTGCTGCTCTGCACAGAATAGTGCTGGAGTCTGCAGCGCTATCTGAAAAAAAAGCCAGAGTCCTAATGCCTGGTGAGGTTTGTCCTGAGCACAGAATGGTGCATGACTGCTTATTTGCCAGGATTGGTCATTCCTGGGCTCTACCAGGAAAGTTCCTGGCACAACTAGAGTCCTGCCCAGACATCCTGAGAGGACCTGGACAGGGCCTCATGGAAGAGGGGACGTTAGAGATGGGTGCCATCAGGGGGAAGCTGGCTTCAGAGGAGGAAAGCCAATGTCCAGTAGAGCTTCTGGCAACCATCAGAAAGGGACTCAGGAGCTAAGTGAGATCACGGTGGGTGCAGGACTTGGGTCACTCCCAGTGTTGGGCTTTTTACCTTCCTCAGAGAGAAACTGTAAAGTTTTCAGCATGGAGAAGAATTGTGGGAGTTGCAGAGAACTGGAAGAAAGCCTGAGGGACCTGTGCAAAGGACCGAGGGTTGCCAAGCAGGCTGATGGGAGGGAAGGGGTTTCCTGACCAGAGAAGTGACTCCTTCCAAGAGGAAGATGAATTGCTTTTACCCTGGGGACTTCCAGACAATGGCATCAGGGATCTGGTTGGATGTCACATCCAACTCTCCCCCTCTCCCTGTCCTGAAAACATCTCCCATCAAACCAAAGGAGCAGAGTGAAGAGTACTCCTTATTACCCACATTTTCTCCCACCACCAGCATTGAACCTCCTGGAGTGGAAGATCTACACACACCCTGCCTTCTTCAACCACCCACATAGGCAGGGAGATATTCACCAGACATTGGAAACAAATTAAGAGGCAAGAACAGAGACACTCACCGTTGCTTCCTGTAAGGGTCCAGAACGTCCAGGCAAATTAGAGTTCCTGGGTAAGCACTGGCTCTTTATACCTGCCCTGTAACATTATCCTCAGCCCCAGTTTCTGAGAATTCTCTTCAGGAAGTAGGGTAATTTACTTATTATTGACTCACTCAATTTCACCCCCAGCTGAACCCAGGTGTCCAGCTTGCCTCTGGACACCTGCCACTAATATTGATAGGACTAAACACACCTTAGAGATCAAAGCGCACCCTCAGCCCAGGATCTCATACATACCTCACTGCAGGCCAGTAAATAAAGTGGCAGCATCAGGGTCTGTATTTCATGCTGTCCAGGGATCCAAGGCCCAGAGAAGACCAGCAAGTTGCACAATGATCTACAACTCTTGCAACAGCAGCCTGACTCCGCAGAGTCCAAGAAGCAGCACCTGCTGTGCCCACTTCTCTTCCTCCTCATCTCAACATTACTGCTCAGACACTAGGAAAGAGCTGGGAGCTGCTAGGCCAATCTGAGCAGAAGTGGGGCAGGTGAAGGGCTGCTGAGGCAACAGCCTGTGGGAGACCGTGTCTGGGGGAGCTGCCATCTGGCAGGGGTCACTCTTTTGCTTTCTGCTGTAGCTCTAGGACAACTCTCCACTTGCCTCAAGATGGCTTTCTATGCTCTCTGTTCATCCCCTGCCCAACCGCCTCCTTCACTCACATGACTATCCAATTCTCTTCATTACAGGGCTTACTGGTAACTGCCTACATGCTTGCTGCCCCAGATACTGGTTTCCCTGGTAACTGATGAGCAAACTGACATCAGCTTCCTGTTAGACTGGTGGGATCCTCCCTCAAACAGTAAAAATTGTGTCCATGTCCTTCCTCTTCTCTGCTGAACATGGTTGTGCTAAGACCCTTCTTTTCTGGACAGGTAAGATTCCTTATCTAACAAGCCATGGACATCTTTGTCCCTGTCTCCTAGCTCTTGATTTGGTCTCAAGGCTGGACATCAACACGCGTGCACACCTGCAGAGTGCAGGCCAATAACTGGTGAGTCAGCCAGAAGGCTGCAGGTAATCCCGTGAGTGCCTAGATGTTGGAGAATGAGGACAGGGAAGGGAAAGTTGTGGGGATAATCCCGGGGTGTCATTCCCCTAGCATGTGGGTTCCTGTGAGAGATATCTTTCTCTTCCATTAAACTGATGACATCCTATTAACCTCAGTTTCTTCCCAGTTTAAAAGTAGCAGCCTGGGCTTGTGCTTCACTTGACTGCCTGGGAGGTCTTGTGATACTGGCAAAACATAAGAGCCTTTCTGGTTTTATTATTTTCTACAAAATACAAACGTACCCCTGACCCACCACCCCTAAACAATTATAGGCTTTAGGGACATTAACTGGGACAGGCTTGTGAATTGGCCATGGTCAGTTACTCTGAAGAGTTTGGTTAGAACCTGTGGCAATGGCGAAATGAAAAGAGTACCCTCTAGGCTTCTGGTCCCAGGTGTGGGAGGGGTCAGAGCAGGGATATAGTGTCAAGGACCAATGCTCTATGCAGCCTACATGCTTTAAAACATTAAAGTTGCTTACAAAGTGGAAGCTGTTACAGTGAGCCTACTCAAGTTGCTGAGCAATGCAAAAAAACACCACTTCAGTGGCCATGAAGTTCAGGAATGAGCTGATAAAAATGCCATACCCTGGTGTTTCCATCTGTCCTACAGCCCTACTGCTGCCGGGTTAATAGAAGGATGAGTGGACTAAGTAAGCAACAACTGACAGAGGAAACCCACTGTCTCAACCTGTGAACCAAGAGGCTAGTTTAAGTCACGGAACTTGTCATTAAATATTCCAGGAGCAGTCAGCACAGGGCGTATCTACATCATGTTAACCCAGAGGCAAACTAGTCAATATCACTGGTGTTCAACTGTTGACCACCCAGGTATCAATGCCAGCTAGCGATCAGGAGAATAACTCACCTTTGCCCTTGCCACAGGATCTACCCCCAGGGGAACATACAGTAAGTGGCCCTGGGACTAAAACTGGCAGGAGTCCCAGGTGTTTGGGGTTTGCTGCCCTGTGGGGATTAAGACTAGAAAGGAACTTACAGATTTCATCTGGACCCAGCTAAGAAGACTAAGAAATTATTCAAGGTCCCCTACTAGAGAAAGGCACCATTATATTAACCTTGTGTTCTGTTACACCCCCTCCAGTGTCTGACACTGGCTGAAGAGGACAGAGGTTGGACAGCATAATGGTACTGCTGCTGCTGCTGCTGCTGCTGCTAAGTCACTTCAGTCATGTCCAACTCTGTGCGACCCCATAGATGGCAGCCCACCAGGCTCCCCTGTCCCTGGGATTCTCCAGGCAAGCACATTGGAGTGGGTTGCCATTTCCTTCTCCAATGCATAAAAGTGAAAAGTGAAAATGAAGATGCTCAGTCGTGTCCCACCCTTAGCGACCCCATGGACTGCAGCCCACCAGGCTCCTCTGTCCATGGGATTTTCCAGGCAAGAGTATTGGAGTGGGGTGCCATTGCCTTCTCTGTAATGGTACTGCAGCCCAGGACAAAAATCGTAGTCAAGGGTGTTAATATGTCACAGTGCTGTTACTGTTCGTATTTTGCTTAATGGTCATGATCTTCCCTGCATTGAGCCTATTAGACACCTTCTATTTCATGTCTAGTCTGAGTGGAGGGATCTGTCTGCAGATAGAGCAACAATGATGACCTCAGTCCAAAATGAACCTGATGGCTGGGTCTAGAGCGGTATGCTATTGTTGTCCTCAGGAATTCCATGAAAAATTGACCTGATAAATGCCTGTCTCCAAAGGTTGCCTACTTTTTGGACTCAGTATTCACTAGCTGTGGTTGTCTGTGTTGCATTTGTGGTATCTGTTTGTGGTACACCTCTATATACCTGAGGGCAGGAATACTGTGGAAGAGGGGTGGACCAAAATATTAAGGGGTATGCAGGTTGTGTAAGGATGGACTGTATGGTCAGCCCAATCAAGATGGCTGTTCTCTTGCTCTTTCTACACTTCCCTGCTTGACAGTCCCTGCTCCACTCACAGGACTATCCAGTCCTCTTAAATATAGGGCTTAATTAGTAACCACCTACATGCTGGCTGCTGCCCTAGCTGCAGGTTTCCCTGGTAACAGATACGCCAACTGACATCAATTCCCCCAGTAAATCATAGGGAGACACTTTGACACTTCTCCCCAGTGTCAAAAATTGCTGCCATTTCCTAGCTGCTATAAACAGTGCCATGTCACTCTAGGAGTTTCTGTTTAAACATGTAAGATGCCCTGTCCAATAACCATTGATGTCTTTGTTGCTGTCTCTCCCTCTTACTTCAATCTTAAGGCAGGGCATCTGCAAAGCACAAAGGCCTGTGAGGTCCAGCCCAACAGCAGTGGGTAGGTTGCTTTGGTTTTGGTCTCTGGGAACTGTCAGGGTAGGTCTGGTATTGAGGCCTTCTGCCAGAGCATTTACAGACCCACTTATGCTGAGCTCTTTGATTCTAAAACCATAACAAGGGAAGGAAAAAGCAGACATGGACATCAGAAGAAGTAAGATTGCACTGTTTCCCCCTTGACCTGTCAAGCAGAGGGCAATGTCTCTGAGGCCAATCTTGGGGGTTCGATTTATACCTTTCATCTCGTCCTTGCAAACTACATGCAAATTCAGAGCAACTATTCACACCAGGCTAGGAGTGGCTTCTCCATTGGTTGGCTAGAATGGAGGGCTCCTCATATAGTATCGCTTATCTTGTCCTTTCATTTCCTTAAAGCTGACATCGTAGTATTTCCCATTTTTTTATTCTTAGGGGAAATAGTAATCTGCCTTCATTTCACTACCCAGAGTACTCAAGTCCTCAGGTATACAGGCATTCCTTAAAACCTTTCCCCCTCTGCTAAGAGCTGGGATCCAAATGAAAAATCACCTTCTCTGGCTCAGATGCCTTTCCTGGTTTAGGCATGGATTGAAATTCATGCCTTCAGTGAATTCATGCCTTCAGTGGGCACATGCCCACTTGATATGACTATAAGCTCATCTCTTATGTACAGATGTTCAGAAATAAGCAGTCATGATGTCCTGAAGAAACGCACCTCAGTTAGAATCACCACTCTTTCTTCAGGCTGTATTGGGAGAGACACTTTTCTGTTGAGGCTGAATTGCCATTCCTTCCATGAAGAACAGAAGAAAACAGGGTCTTGCAAGCCAGTTGAAGCAGAACCATAGGGTTTGGATACAAATGACTCTTTTAGAGACTCAGATATATCCCTAAACCACTGTCTTCCTACCTTTTGGAGAGCAACGCTTCTCAACCAAAGATTATTGTGTCTCAACTCCAACCAAGGATGAGCCCGACGAACTGAGTGATTAGCTTATTCTAAGGGCGAGGGGAGGGTGGATTTGGGGCAGGGTTTGTATGGGCTCCTAGGGCTCTCAAAATCAAGATCCTCGTAACCAATGTATCTCTGTTTCATAATCACTTACTTCAGAATTTACCAGAGAAGTGATCTGTCCTTGTACCTTGGAGATAAGAAATAAAGGAATAAACCATATGCCCAACCAGCCTGATTCCTCATTACTTTATGCATATTCCTTCTTGACCATCCATTCAAATGAGCCTGTACCACTCAGCCAATTAAGGCCACATGTATTCCCAAGGGATGAACATTAACAACTAGGATTTGAGTAAATGCAATCTCAAACACCCCAATGGGAAGCAAGAGAATCATGTCTTCTTGAGAGTTCAATAATGGGGGGGCGGGTTCGTACAAAAGGGCAATGTGCAAAGAACCCCCAACAACTGCTGGCCCAGTGGTTAGGATTCCTGGGTTTCACAGCTGTGGCCTGGGTTCAATTTCTAGCCAGGGAACTGAGATCCCATAAGCCACATGGCACAGCCAAAAAAAGAAAAACAAGTCTTCTCCACAGTATACCCTCTTTGAAATACCTGTAACCCATAGCTTATTGGTTTGTTTCTTTTGTTTTTGGCCATGGAGCAAAGTATGGGGAATCCTAGTTCCTGACCAACAATGGAATCCATATCTCCTGCATTGCAAGCAGGAAGTCTTAACTACTGGACCACCAGGGAAATTCCCCCAAAGCTTATTGGGTACTATAACATTTGTAAAAAACCTGATCTCTAATAGGTTGCTTTATTTTATTTGTTGGTAGTCTGAATATGGCTTCCTCTATATTAACTACTTTCTTTCTAGCTGTCTCTTAGATCACTAGATACATCTTTTTTCCTTTTTTATATGAACTATTCCATTCAAAATTATTCTTCCAGTCCATAAGCTGTCCTGTGTTAAAGCCATCTGAAACAGTAGTGCAAAAAAGGAATCCTGGTCTGAAACTGGCAATATGGGTATTATTTTATCCAGAGTCCACATAGTATATACTCTTCATTATTCTCTAGTGTTGACTATAGTCATCAAGGACAACATTCCATAATCAAATTGACCCTATTGCTTACATTCTCTACGATGTCCTCATGTGACTTCATTTTCTACTGTGAGATGAATATCCAGTACAGGACCTTCCCCACCAGTGAAAGCACCAAACCAAGCTTTCCTCCACTGGTAGAAGATATAGACAAATTTATTTTTATTTAATCCTTCACATTGTATAATATAACTTATAAAAATTATTTTGCAAAATACTTGTTATAATATATTGATTCAAAATTGCTAGCCCAGATTATCTCTTTGCCTTGATCCTGAGAGA